TCCCCGCCATCGCGACAACGACGGCCGTCGTCAGCGGCCTCGCCGTGTTCGAGGCTGCGAAGATCCTCGCCGGGCTCGGCGGCGACGTCGCGCGGCTCCGGTCGACGTTCGTGCACCTCGGCGCGCCGCTCTGGGGCCAGGCCGAGCCGGGGCCCGTAAACGAGTGGCGCCTGCCGGGTGGCGGCACGGCGACCGAGTGGACGGTCCCCGCGGTCCGCCTCGCCGCGGCCGACACCGTTGTCGACCTCGTCGCCAAGCTCGAGGTCGACCTCTTCCCGGGCGCCAGCGTCCGCTCCCTCGTGGTCCGAGATGAGAGCGAGACGCTCCTCTACCTGCGCGCGCTCCACGACGGCGACGAGGGCGCGCGGTCCTGGACCGTACGGGAGCGGCTCCGTGTGCTCGACGCGGCGCCGGCGGCCGGCCACCTCGACCTCTTGGTCACCGGCGACGACGGCGAGGGGGGAGAACTCGACGTCCCCCCCGTGAGAGTCCATATCGCCCTGGCCTGAGTAACGCTCGCGAGGCTGGCCCGTGCAACCGTCCTGGATCCGCCGCGTCACGGCGCGCCCGGCGGAAAACCCACTGGGGTGCTGGGTGCTGTTTCCGTCCACCTGGCCATTCGTAGCTCCCACTGGCGCGAGCTCAGCTAAAGGAAGCAGGGTACTGCCTCCGAGGCCGCCCGGGGTATCCGAAGTGAAGTTTCGTGAGGCGGATCAATTCCAAACAAAACGAGTGCTGAGAATCGACTCGCGATCGTTCGGGCTCTAGAGCTCGAAAGGAGACATAAACTAGGTCCAAAAACACGCGTTAATAGCGCGCTATAAACGCCATAATAAACGTGGCCCAGGAACCCGCGTAATTTACGTAAATAACGCGGTACATTTTTTTTTTTTACTCAACTTTTTTTTCTAGTCTAAATCGACGCCGTTTGCATCTCGGACCCCCGGCGAAAACCAAAAAACAAAAAGATCTGCGTAAATAACGCGTTAATAACGCTAATAACGCGTCAATAGCACCGTGGCGACGCTCACGTAAATAACGCCGTCCAGTGACGAGATCGAGCGAGAGTTGACTTTTCAATAGTTGGCTGACCTCATACACTCCGCTGTCAAAATTGAACCTGTTGAGCGGAAGTACCAGCGAACTCCAGAGATAACTGCGTAGAAGATGCAAGAGTACCTCTCCCCGCGCACATTACAGCCATTTGGGAATCAGCCCAGTGTCCTCCCTTCTGCTTATACACACAAAGTTCATTTTCTATTGTGAATGCACCGCCTCCTTCGCGTTCTGCGACAGCTGGTTCTTCGCCGCGCCGCCGACGTGGAAGCTGCCGCCGCGCAGATGCTCGCGTAGTACGGCCGCGCGAACCACCACCCCGCCCAGCGTCTCGTAACCCAACATCCCCGAAGCGAGCAGCGCCAACTCCACCCACGCCCCCCACCGCCCCACCCCCCCCCGCCTTTTTCTTTTTTTCAGAAACCGACCACACGAA